GCTAGAAATAGGCGATGCCGTTATGGTGAGCGAACCTGAACGAAAGTCCAAGCTTTCACCCAAGTTTGAAGGACCATTCCGCATTATTGCTAAAGAAGCGTGCAACAAATTTAAAATCTTGAAGCCAAACTCACAAACATCAGATGTCGCGCATGCTGGCAGACTTATAAAGGTCCATTCAGATTCATTTTCCAGGAATGATAATGATGTCCCAGTGTAATGACCACGGTCATACTCGTCAGTAACGCCAAAATCAGACGATTCATATTACGCTCAATAGCCCACAAAACCTGTAGCTCTGCCTTCGTTTGAGTTCCCCATCTGAGGAGTCCGTTTTCTCTTTACTTCAAGACGCCTTAGTCCTCCGTTATCCCATTTTCTCTGACTTACTGAAACCAACCTCTCTATAAAATGAATTTGAATGTGAGAGAGAACACCCTTGTTTTGAGTCAACTTAGATATGTTTGATTACAGTTAAAGCATACAAGATCCTTTGTGAGTGATGTTGAAAGCTTTAACTGTCTTTATTGTAAGTAACGTCGGGTAGGTAAGTGAGTGTTGAGTCTGCCAGTACAAACGATACCCGCGGTATTGTCCCTAAGAATGACCATGAGTTTCCAATTGCTACTGAAGTCAGATTATTTTGTTGCCCAAACATCAGAGAATCTGATGTTTGTAGTTTAGAGTTTGTCAGTCGTCTATTAAAGAAAATCATCAATCTCCTGAACTATTCTGTCACCCTGTATAATCTCCAAGATCTAACATTTCCCCGTCAATAGTTCCTTGTTTGCAGCAGCCCTGACCTTGCAGAATTGATGTTATCAACGTGTATATTCCACTTTTTCCTGGCAAACTCAACCTCTGATTAGATTATATGAATAGACATAGGCAATTACCCTGATCAGGAACACTGGAGTTCATAATTAAGTATACAGTGATCCAAAATGGTAGAAAAGGTCTGTGGTAAGTGAGATCAACCTTTCTGGTATGAATGCGTGGGCCCGAGCTGCCCCACGAGCGCACGTATATACCGCTGCCTGAGGGAGAATCACGCATTCGTGACTCTTGCTCCACGTATCTTCAGGCCAGGGTGTTGAGCTGAATACTCATCGGATACTGTGGATCGGTAGCCGGGTTGGACAATGCCGTTAATTCGACAGGATTAAACTATGAAGTCCGTTTTCCGCAAATCAGGCCCCAGCTCCCTTGGCGTGTGTCGGTCTACAACAGACCCCTAACAGCGATCTTCATTTGTTGTGGAGACACCAGTGTTGTATACCCTGGGGCACTCCTCACGGTTACATGGGCCTAAGTATTATTGTATCTTGATTGAGGGATTAACCAACAGGAATATGGAAATCCCAGGTTAAGTCGTGAACCCACAACTATTAATAGTACCAGGAAATATGTTATGTGAGTTGAGTACATGAACTGAAGGAAAAGTACCATGTTGTTCATGCCGATAGAACGTGATGTTATGAGTTGATTTGGGATATTGTCAAGTGTCATATAACCATCTGTAGTGACAATGGAATAATATAATGATTGTTAAATGTTGTAACCAAGAATTGAAGATGTAATTTGTTACTTATAAAAGTAAGACCTGAGGTTCCAGTATTATCTGACCGTGTGTAATAATTACTGAATCTTACTTGTCAAAGAAATGATACAACAGTTGTTTCATGAAGTAAAGAGTAATATTTGTTAAATGAAATAATAAGTACTTGGAGTTGTTTAATGATATAATAAGTACTTGAAGTGTTTAATGAATTAATAAATAATTGTGGATCTATTTTATCAATGATACAGTAAGACCTGAGGGTCCAGTCTTGTCTGAATAAACTTAATAGTTGTTAAATGATATACTAAGGGCTTGGAGTTGTTTAATGATGTAATAAGTACTTGAAGTGTTTAATGAATTAATAAGTAATTGCGGATCTGTTTTGTCAATGGTACAGTAAGACCTAAGGGTCCAGTCTTGTCTGAGTGAATTTAATTAACATCTTATTCACTCACTGTGTTAATAAATATTGAATTGGTAATCTACGAGTATCACTCTATTCCTTCTAAACATTGGTTCCTAGAAAAAAATACTTACTCACGTGCCTATACCCACTATACCACCCTACCCAAAAGCTTTCCGTAAGATGTGTTATATTCTAATAAAAGTCTGGGTGGTGGCAGACTACCGGTGTAAGTATAATAAGTGTTGTACTAAGAATAACATGGTTCCCCAGACTAATCCATGGTTGAGAATATAATAAAACAGAGTATACTTCAGCAAGGTAAGAACATATGAACTCAGACATATAATATACATTACATGAAAAGAAATGAAAGACTTGGAAACGATAAGCAGAGAACTATCAGAATTACTTATATAAGAATATAAGCAAGAATATAAGGTATATATCGATAAAGAATTAAAGAATAATAACAGAAAAGAATATCTGGATGGTAAAATATGAAGTAAAGAAACTCGGCCCATTACACCAGACACAACTGTTCAAACAGCAAACACGTCAAATACACCAAGTGCATCTGTTGATTATTGTTTAAAACTACGTTCTACGAAACATATCTAACAATGTTCCTAACATTTCTACAATGATATTAACACAAAAAAGATTTCTGAGTCTAATCATTTCCAGTATTTAATTTTTTTATAATTTCATGAATTCAGTGCCGACACTGAAATGATTCATGTCTTTTTCCAAGCATTTTGCATGCTACGAAAACTTCAGCTCAAGCTTTATGTATTAACAAAAACGAACTAATTGCAGGTATGGTTGATGCAGGGTTAGGACGAGTGAATGCACAGCATGTGTATGTGAAAATTCTTTTTGAAGCCCTACATATAGCCAAGACGAGTTATCTTTTAACGCCAATTTTCGCCGACGAAGAGGTAGAATAGTATATCCTTCTGTTCGAGTCAACTCTCAAGCACTATGCTTTCCTCACCCACGTAACTATGTAAGTGCAAAGCAAATTAATGCATGGCATATAGAACCTTTCCCATTATACTCTGATGACACACTGTTTAATCTGGATTTACCTACCGATCTTTTACTAATAGATGAAGACTACTCTTTGTTAGAAGTGGATGATTTTAGGGTATTATCACTGTGTAAGTCGCCATGTATACATTTACACATATGCCCAGCCTATGTGTGCGCGTTTATTCAGCTGCAGACGGAATATGCGAATTGGCGATTATACAAAGTAACGTTCGCACAGCGCTGAAACAATGTAACTATACACCAATTTTCCAGGAAAACTGTGTTTCATGGGCATCTACATAATGTTCAGTATACATATATATATATATATATATATATATATATATATATATATATATATATATATATATATATATATATATATATATATATATATATATATATAAGAAAGATATCTCCTCTTACATACGCACATTATTAAAAAGATATAGAAATATAATAATAAAAAAATACCATGTGTTCCCCCCTTACATCCGATAATATTAATTCTGTTTTAATGGGGATGTAATAACCTAAAATAACACCTCCAGTGGCAGTGATCTATTTGTATATCGATATATCTGACAGGCTCGTATGCTAATGATTAAGTCTTCACATTTATGATATATATGTATAATAAAATTTCAAAGTCAACTTCAACTTATAAAATTTTTAAGATGGCAGATCATAGGTGTGATAGACCCGTGAATCAGTCTATTTTCTGAAACTATGACAGGAAGATAGAATAATAGAAATTCAATAAAATCGTCACAGAGTTTCACTTTGATTCCGCATGCACATAAACAAGGCAGGTATACAGTGTACATAAATCAGTGCAGGTATATAAACAGTGGCAAACAATTTAATTAAGTCCGTCCCACCAAGGACAGCCTAACAAAGCCATCATATGGTTATTTTCAATAGGTGCATTTGCTTAGGCTGAAAGACTAATCAGTGAAATCAAACCTACAAAAAAGTGTAAATATGTAGTTATATGTAAGAAGTACACCATTGCATTCAGACTACAGTATCTGAGACTAGTGGATCACTTCCACAAATACCAGTCATTGGTTAGTAAAACAGAAAACCGCTCTCTTCTCTTGCTGCAGTTTTACCAGATATATAATTGTCTTGCTAATTTTATCTTTGGATCATTCTATACTATTACTGGCTAGGTATATTGTTTCATTCACGTTATGGGTGGTAAGTAGAAAGTGTGTTTTACTTGACCACGTACACCAAGTACTACAGAATTGTGATTAGTGGTAACTCTCAAACGAACTCACGACAAGATATATGCGGAAACTGGAGGTATCCTAAACAAATCACGGTCCTTATCCCCCTAACACGATCACAACTCCTTGTGGTGCCCACCCGGGCACAGGTCACTGACCCACATTGGGCCTGTGGGATAATAATAATAATAATAATAACAATTAAAAAAATCATAACAAATAAATACATTAAAAATATAAATAATAAAATAACACAAATAACAATAATAACACTGTAATAATAATAATAATAATAATAATAATAATAATAATAATAATAATAATAATAATAATAATAATAATAATAATAATAATAATAATAATAATAATAATAATAATAATAATAATAATACAAAAATTAAGAAAAAATCAAGAGTGAGAAACGATATACAGTATGTATGTTGTGTTGTCAAAATAAGAGAAACAATTGAGACTCTGCAATTGTGTAAATGAGGCAGGAAGTCACATCAGCAACCTGGGACTTGGTCACAATTTTCGTGATGCCATATTTGGCAGCAAAGTCTACCATTAGACAATACATTACATTTCCAATATCTTCCCAGGCGGTAGTATCTCCCTGTTTGATAGTTGCCTTTTACCTGGTTGCCTACCTAGTCTAGTTGCCGTTAAAAATTATTTTCTCAAGTTTCCTGTTAAGGAAAACGACATTATTAAGGATGCCTAACGTAACTCAACAAATATCGCCAATGTTCATGGCTTGGAATGATTAAGCTGACTTACCGTAACCTTTCATGATGCCGTGGGTGAGGTATAGTGGGGCCCGCCCTGTACTGCTCTTTTGACTGAGGATATCCCGTATAGTTTGAGGGTCAGTCATTACCACCACCAACACGCTGCCCATTTTGAGGCTAAACACTCGTCCATATCGCTTCACCAAATTCACCATGGTCAGGTGTGGAGCTCGCTGGTTCAGCCACGGTAAGTACCCGACCTGCAATATTTACATGGAATTAAGGAAGACTTGTAACAAGGGTTTTAATGAGGATTAAATGCAGGGCTCAATTTGGGGAACTGTGGGACATGACCGTCGTTTATTGCCTGTGACCAGTTGCCGATCAATGGTCTTCCAGAGGAGTAATAATTCAGTATTTGCTTAATATGTTTGTTTTTAACCATTAATAACACACAGGACATTTCTGACATAGTAAAAAGCTGAGTATGCATATAATATATTGGAGTCAAGTGGCTCATAAAGATGGCATTTTCATCCAAAAATTTCTCATATACTGTGTATGTATTATTTTACGTTAAGTTAATTAAGATGTAGTGTATAATGAAATATGATATATAAAAATAAGTAAAAAAAATGTAAATAAATAAATAACTAAATCAATATTAATGATAATAATAATAATAACAATAATTATAATAATAATAATGATAATAATAATAATAATAATAATAATAATAATAATAATAGAATCCTTTGATCAGAGCCTACCAGTGGCAGGCCCCAGGGTCCTGGCGGCAGGTTCCTAGAGGAGCGCCACACCCACAACACATAGACGCAGAAGAGGAGAGTCGCCAGCATAGTCGTCAGCAGTTTACCCACGTCAGAGTCAGGTACTACAGCAATCCTCTCCGGCACCCAGCTGGTCAGCCAAGTCATTTTTTCAGAACCTGAAATGAGAGTGAAGTGTTGAATACATAGAGGAGGATAGTTAGTCAGTAGTCTTCGGCCGACTATCTCAGCTACTCTCCGGGAAGGTTTCGAGCCGCGGCATTCTCTGTAATTGGTATAATATTCTCTAATATATATGTTGTCACCAGACTATACTTAACCCACGCTGTTCGGTACTACCTTGAAACTTGTAGAAAACATAACCAGTAACAGAATGGGAGTACACCTGGACCCCTGAGTGAATAGTTGAAGAACCTGGGCTACTGCTTGACCAGGAAAGCTACTACTTAAGCGCCAGAAGAGGCGGCACATAGACGCGCGCGCGCGTGTGTGTGTGTGTGTGTGTGTGTGTGTGTGTGAGGGTCAACTCACAGAACGGAGATCAGGCTATACCTTCTTCTGGAAGGGTAAGCCTGCTGCAAAGAGAAACCACATTTATGGAATTGGTTTTACCATTCGCCAATCCATCCTACATAGGCTAGACAACCTGGGGGCCATGGCCCCCAAGGGAGCCACAGACAAGAATTTAGGGGAGACACGGCGAGTTGTTATAAATTGTACGTTTCCAAATAATGTTGGGAATCTGAATTAAACAAAACTTGTATTGCTTATTTTGACTTGGCAGAAGAGAATTTTCATTCTTTTTTTTGTCATTTTGTTTAATCATAACGACAATACAATTTTAATATTTACATACTCTGGTGCTAATTTTTTTTTACGGATTATTTAAGATTTCACAGGTCCAGTCTCTGTCTGTGTGACAGGCGCTGGACGGAGCTGCTGAACTGACTTGTTCAGTACGTGTCCGTGTGTCATCCCTTTGCAAGTGGTGATAGGACCGAATGATCTCAGTCTGGCCTGGGATACCATCACGAAAACAGTGGAGTGTATTGTCTCTGAACCATATATTGTGTTTGAACTTGACTCAAGCATAATATACTCCGTAATTGGTGTTACTTATTTTGTTTCATAATTCATGTGGTCGCTGCTTTACGTGGGTGAAATATTTGTACACTTCCTTTATTAATTATTTCCTTATTTATTGGTGCCATTGTTGTTCATACTCATTCTTTACTTATATAATCCTACCATTTTTAGTGCTAAATTGGTATGACTCACTATTCTTCTCATTCTTCCAAGTTGGGCGGTGCTTGTCAAAGGAGGCGTGTTGTTGCTTACAGGAAGTACACTTCAGCTTGCTAGCTTGAGTGTGAATGTTTACCTGTGTGCATGTTTGTGTATAACTGTATGTGTGCTTTATGTGTGAGTGCATGGGCGTGTTATGTATGTGAATGTGTGTGTGTGTTTGCCATTCTAACTCTTGTCCTATTTATCTGTCCTTCTTTATCATTCTTTAGTCTTTATCACTTGTTTGTCTGTTCTGACATTCTGTTTTCTTTATTTTCTCTAGATTTGTGATGGCTACTAGTGATGCTAAGAAGCGGAAGTACATCGATGGATACATTAACTACGGATTTACATCAATCCTCGCTGATGGCATTGAGAAACCTCAGTGTGTGCTGTATTTCAAAGTGCTGGGGAATGATTCTATGAGGCCTAGTAAGCTGAAGCATCATCTGATGACGATCCATCCACAGTATGCGGAGAGAGACACCGATTTCTTCAGGCGCCATGAACGGAGTTTGGGAAAACAGAAACTGGACGAGATTGGTTCTCTCCAACAACAGACAAAAAGTGTAGTTGAGGCATCATAAGAGCTTTCCCTCGAAATAGCAAAGCAACAGAAGCCCCATACAATTGGTGAAACTTTAATTTAACCATGTGCTTTAAAAATGGTCAAACGGGTTCTTGGTGAGGCAAGTGAACGTAAAATTCATCAAATTTCCTTGTCTAACGATACAGTGAAACGGAGAATTAATGAAATGTCAGACGCCATAAAGGAAAAAGTGATATAGGAGATCAAATTATCTCCAACTGGTATGTTTGCAACACAGCTGGATGAGTCAACGGACGTGAGTTCTTGTGCACAGCTACTAGTGTTTGTTAGGTATGTTTTCTTGTGTGACATCAAGGAGGAATATCTGTGCTGTACACAGCTCGAGACCACCACAACAGCTGTAGATGTGATGAAAAAGCTGTCTTCTTTCTTCACAGCTAGCAGGGTCAGCTGGGAAAATTGTTGTGGAGTCTGTACGGATGGGGCTCCGGCGATGCTGGGATCAAAATCGGGGTTCCAGAAGCGTGTCAAGGAAGTAGCTCCGAATGCCAAGGGGATCCATTGTATGATCCATCGATTTGCACTGGCGTCGAAAACCCTCCCTGATGAACTTTGCAAGATCCTAGAGGCAGTGGTCAAATGGGTCAACTTTGTGAAAGCTGGAGATCTGAACTCTCGCTTTTCCCAGAACATTTGTAGAGACATGGATTCAGGGCATGAAGCCCTCCTCTTCGGGGAGAGCTTAAGTTGTTCCTGGAAGTGCAAGGGAAAGATGATCTATTAAGTCACTTCAATGAGGTGTTGTGGGAGCCACGTTTTGCATATTTAGCAGATGTATTTGAGCAGCTAAACAGGCTGAATCTCAAGCTGCAGGGCAAGGACAGAGATGTGTTTCACCTCATGGATTGTCTTCGTGCATTTCTTGCAAAGCTCCAGAATTGGCAAAGGGAAGTCAATGCAGGAAATGTTGCCATGTTTGAGAATCTTTCAACTGTTCTTGATGAAAATGAAGATCATCTGCTTGACCCATCACTCAAAACTGATATCACTCAGCACCTTTATATATACAGTAGAGGAGAGTGAGATCAAGTCCCTAGAGGACAGCAGGTGTCCACAATGTTCCGGTCATAAGGCAGTGATCCTTATTAATCTTCTTAATAAAAAAAATTTACCATGCCATCTCTAAGCATAGCAGCTGTCCGTCGTCCGTAGATTGGGCAAATACAGTCAGATACCGGCGAGCTAACTGATAACGACAGAGAAATGAGCAATAATCTGAATAAATATTTTTCAACAGTTTTCACCACCGAAAATTTAAACATGATACCCGAGGCACCGGCTCTATTCACAGATAGTGAAGAAAACAAATTAAGCGAGATAGTAGTGACTAGTAACGATGTTATTAAGCAAATAGACAAACTAAAGCCGAGTAAGTCACCTGGTCCCGATGAGATATTTGCCAGAGTATTAAAGGAATGTAAGGAAGAGCTTAGTATGCCCTTAGCAAATTGTTTAACATGTCCTTAAAAACAGGTGTAGTACCAGAATCCTGCATGATAGCGAATGTAATACCGATTTTCAAGAAGGGAGATAGATCACTATCCTCTAACTACCGTCCAATCAGTCTAACATCAATTGTAGGCAAATTACTGGAAGCAATCATTTCAAACTCTATTCGAAACCACCTGGAGAAGCACAAATTGATCAATGATTCCCAGGATGGCTTCACAAGCGGGCGTTCATGTCTAACTAATCTATTAACAATCTTTTCATTAGTTTTCGAATCGGTGGACGAGGTGCACAATTATGATGTGGTATATCTCGACTTTAGCAAAGCTATAGACAGAGTCCCCCACGAAAGACTAATAAGAAAGGTAGAAGCACATGGCATTAAAGGTAATATTCTAAAATGGATTAGGGCGTGGTTACAGGACAGGAAACAGCGAGTGAGCATTAACGGCACTAAATCCCATTGGAGCAGCGTCACTAGTGGAGTTCCCCAAGGCTCAGTACTTGGACCATTATTATTTATTATATACTGTACATAAACGACATAGATATCGGCATACACAGCAACATAATAAAATTTGCTGATGACACTAAAATAGGACGTGTAATTAAATCTGACGAGGACTAGGCAAAACTACAGGAAGATCTAAACAAATTTTTCGAATGGTCTGAAAAATGCCAGATGAAATTCAATGTGGACAAATGTAAAGTACTCAGTATAGGAGATGTAAACAGGGAAACCAGTTACCAGATGAACAACGATGCCATTGTGAAATCCGACTGCGAGAGAGATTTAGGAGTAATGATAAGTAGGAATCTTAAGCCAAGTAAACAATGTGTTTTTGCTCGTAACACGGCTAATAAAGTACTTGGGTTCATACAAAGGAGTGTTAGTTACAAGACTAGCGAGGTCATCTTAAGATTATATCTTTCGCTTGTGAGACCTCACGTGGATTACGCAGTTCAGTTCTGGTCACGGTATTACAGAATGGATATAGAATCCTTGGAAAGAATCCAGAGGAGAATGACAAGACTAATCCCGGGAATTAGGAACCTTGAGTACAGAGACAGGTTAAAGCATCTTAATTTGCACTCCCTCGAGAGACGTAGAGCAAGGGGCGACATGATAGAGGTGTATAAATGGAAGTCAGGGCTAAACAAAGGGGACATTACAAAGGTACTCAAACTATCCAACCAGGAGCGAACTCGTAACAATGGTTTTAAATTAGACAAATTTAGATTTAGGCGCGAAATAGGTAAACACTGGTTTGGAAACAGAGTAGTGGATGAATGGGACAAGTTACCAAATATCATCAATAACTCGATTCCCTGGGTAGCTTCAAACATAGGTTGAATGTTTATATGAGCAATAGGGGTTGGGTGTAAATAGGACTGCCCAGTATGGGCCAATAGGCCCGCTGCAGTTTCTTCTATTCTTATGTTCTTATGTTGTAGTCAGGTCATAGGGTAAGATGACCCAACCTTCTCACCTGGTTACAAATCTTCTTGGTCACAAAATTACCCAGTTTGTACATACCATTACTCAAATGCATGTTGACAGATTCGGTATGTTTAATGAGACTGGATTCTATAATGTTCCTACTGACAATTGAATTACAAGGTAATATTGAGGAAGCATTATCCCAGTCAATGCAATGCTTATTATCTCTCCTATGAATGAACAGAGCATTGGATTCCTGGCCTGTCCTAACACTATATTTATGCTGTTTAAGTCTGGTTATAAGATCTTTACCCGCCTGGCCTAAGTAGAACATATTACATTTCTTGCAAGGAACATTGTAAATGCAGCCG